ATATAGTAGGCCTCAGTGTGGTGTGCTGTGCGATATGATTCATGGATCAAGTATTGGTTGAATCCTTTACCTCTCTCTCTTACCTCTGCGCTACGATTTCTTTACGAGTAGGTGACCTGATGGCAATACATCACTGAAAATGAACAGTGAACATTTATACCAACTAAGATTCGTCCTGTAATTAAAAAAAGGATAAAGCATTTGCCGTTGATCAATCCCTTTTTGGGATGCGGCACGCATTCTACTTCCATTTGTACATTCGTAGTGGCGTTTGAATGCGATGTGGCCTATACAATGACTTGCGGGGGCCAGCCGATGTACAAGTCAGTGTTTTTATCCTCCCAGACAAGTCTGGTACCAATTAACCGACCCCGGAGGGATGGAAGGCTTGGTTGGCCCGGGCGACTCACGACCCAGGATTTGATCCCCGGACCGCTCGCGTGGTAAGCGTGCCACTTATCTTGTAATCTTATGGGTTAATTACGCTTTGAATCACTTTTGAGGCTCACTAGTGAAACTTCTTGAATAATTTTTGAGTAAGGGAACGTTTTGCAATTAGTTCCTAGTTAGTGAGCATTGCTTACGATCCTGCATAACTGTTACGCGCTTGATGAAAACTCTCAGCTCCCAAGAAATAGAGGTGTTTCGGGTCTCCAGATAAGGTAAGCATTCTACAATTGGTCTTAATTAGGTACGTTTAGATTTGGCCTTTCATGCTCACGAGGGACGAGGTTTGACGCCTTTCAAGTGCGGACCTCATGTCACCATTCTCCGCCACTCCTTTGCCTTGATTTTTGTTGGCAGAAAACGAACTTTAAAAAAACCTGTAAGGGACAGAGACATCCGTCGGCTTCATTGGTCCCATTCTTTCATTTCCGGTTCCTCTCATGTACCAGCGAATACACTTTTATTGGAAATCAACCCTGGATAGTATCAGCTGAAGCTGTGGTCGTTGCATACCTGTCCTATGACCATAGCTAGACGATCGAATCGAGCCAGTTCAGCCGGTTATGGCGGCTAATCGCTTCGTCTTCCCTGCTGATCGCATGCTATATGCATCGCTCTTATTGCAACTCCTCTGTTTCACTTCTGATCGATGCAATCGTTCCCGTCCAAGGTCCTGCTTGGCAAAAATCAGCTCATACTTTTGCGCAACATGGTTTAGAAATGATCCTTGATGCCTACTTGTGTTCGACTGTATACTACGCAACTCTCATTGTAATCTCCTGGTAATGAGACTTTCATGTCCTAATTTATGCATTTATTAAACAGGCGGGGTAGGAAGTCTTAAGGCTCCACTATTCCCGGTGACCCACATTGTATTTTCGTTGGGATTCAAACCTCTTGAAATGGCTTTCGTTCAGGCACATTATAACATAGTGAAGTATGGGGCCGCTACCACTCACATCGAGCCGGGATCAAATCTTTGATTGAATCACATCCAAACCGATGAACTTTCGATTCCCTTTTAATGTTACAAGCTTCGTCTGGAAAAATAAAGAGTAACTTGTGATCTTATTGTAATCATCTATTTGTGACTACAGTTCAGTTAACATTTTATTTGCCATCGCTAGCCCCGCAAGTCAATGCATAAGCCAAATAGACACTTGAATGTCGTGTGCGTGGCGCATCCCAGCAATGGCTTGATTGACACAGAACTCCTTAACCTGGATATAGGTATATAAAACCTCAAACATTTTCATGCCTGAGCAGATTCGCAAGGCTTATTTCTGAAATTTGCTCCCAAAACCGCTTGCAAGAAAATTGTAATAGAATTTAAACAGGAATTCTAACTTTAAGGCATGAAAACTAACATCATTTGCGCAAAACAAGATGTACAATATAGAAACAATATAAAAGAGACCGATTTTTAGAACTGATGAGGAGGTTTAGGGCATTTGTCGTGATCCGCTCTGCTCTTTTGCAATGATTCAGACTGAAAACTGTGTTAGCTGACACTCATTAAAAAAACGAAAAACATTTTGGAGCCGTGTCAAAGATACTTCAAGAAGAATACGGATATGAGCAATTAATCATCCCAAAGATACTGCTTCAAAGCTTCAATGTGATGGAGGTAGGGCGACCTATGCGCCCGAGAACACCCTTGGGTCTCGTAGAAAACCATATGCCCTGATGTCCAAGCGCTGGGTCTCTCTCGTAGTAGAAAGTTCCACTTCCGAGTACACCTCAAAATAAACTTTCAAATAAGTCGCTGAATGAGGCCCGGTCTGAAATTCCCTCAATAACCTTGCATGCCGCTGCCGAGCGCTCCTGAAGGTTCCTACAAAAAATCCTGCTGCAGGCAATCACATCCAACTTCCTCGCAAGTTTTACTTTTTTTTACCATCAACCAAGGCATGTGTGAAAATTTGGTGAGCGGGCAGTTCACCAGTGCATTTGATCAAGAAAAGGGATGGGTTTTTCGCTATCCTTGTGAGAGGAATAAAATCTTCTGCACATTCTTCGTAATTCATTGGATAGTTTTCTATCTTGTTTTATTTGAATTGCGATTTCTATACACAGGGTGCGCTATAATTATGATGCACCCTATGGTTTTCCTTATTTATTCTCAAGTTTGGGCTTAGATAGAGCTGGATGTGGAACCGCTTACCGCTCGCGTGGTCCGAGGGTCAAACTGCACGCATTCAGTGTCAACCAATTGTTCCATAGCTTTGTTCGGTAAATTCGTACCATATTCCTCCAGATAAGTATACAGAAATACGTGTGGATCAGGCTCCCCTACATTGTATTGTATATGGAGCATACCGTGGTTTGGAGTCCATGGAGGCCGAATGCCTTACTCTTCATTCTTGATTTACTGATTTTGATTTTCAGCTTCATTAAGAATTGCGTTACTGCTTGCTCAACACTGTGCTTTGTTTTCCGAAGTTCTATAAGCATTCAGGCTGCATCTGAACTCGCAGGGCCTTTTGAATGCGTGTATCTCATCTACACTGGTGTGCAAAACTTAAGGACGAGACAGATGAAGTAACCTAACTTATTTATAGCTTTGTGGACCTTTTAACGGTTCCTGTTATTTGCTTTTTGTACTATACTGGAACAGTTCCTTATATGTGTGGTTAGGTTCTATAGAGCTGTTTTACTCGGCAGTAACACGTCACGGAAAATTTGGTTCGTCCTTAAGTTTTGCACACCAGTGTACAATGACATGAAATCCAGCTGGATTTTCACGCGCTGTGCATCCTTTGAGACCAACCTGGTACCAACTCATTGTCCCTGGTGGAGTGGAGGGCCTTATTGGCTTGGTGATATTTAACTCAAACATCAGCATTTCATTTTAACTTAGCGTTGATGCTGCACCAAAGCAGTCTTCGAATCCTTCAGCAGCCACATACTCAGATAGTTGCCAAGGACCTATTAGCTTTAGTTGATTCATTAACTCCCTCTTACTTGCTTCATTCGTAAACAAACGAATTAACAAACTCGTCCGGTGCGATGGAAGACCTGTTCAGAAACCATTTGTGAAGCAACAGCTGCCAGCCGCTCTTGAGAGACCACGTCTTTGAAACTCTGTATTCCAATTGGATGTATTAGGTAGATTCTTGTCATTTGTCGCACGTGAAATTTGCTGAGCGGGCAGTTCACCAGTGCATTTGATCAAGAAAAGGGACGGGTTTTACTATCCCTGTGAGAAGAATCTTCTGCACATTCTTCGTAATTCATTTAGTTTCTATATCCTACTTGAAGGGCGTTGGAAAAAGGTATTCACTGGGACTATTTATAAAGTGCGGTCAAGTGGTGAACAGTCTGCTCCAAACGTCTCAATTCTCATAGCATGAACACTTTCAATGTTCAGACTTAGAGATCGTGAAGGTTTGAGGAATTTTAGCTCGTTTTCCTCCGGTACCACCATAACCTCACGCCTTCCTTGGGTTCAGCCTACCTAGAGGAATCTTCGTCGCTGGAGATCTGTCGTACTCGACGGAAAGTTTCGGAAACTGCAAGCTCAGAAGAATGGCATTTCTGGTTACTTTCCCTATTTTGACTGTGAACTGTACCCCATATGCGACAGATTTTAAAGGGAATGTCAGGCCATTCAAGATGGGAGTAGGACGAGGAGCACATTTATGAATGTATGTGTGCATATGTGGGTCTCTAACTTATGAGGCCAGGGTGGTTCGATGAGGAGGGGAGAGTGGTCAATTTCGACAAGCAGTTTGTCCTGTTTCTGATTTTTAAGCTCTCAAGCTCTTGTTGAATAGAACAATCATCGAAATGGTGTAGCACACAGCGTACAGATGGAATAAGGTCTTGCTTTGCTCACTAATTTTCTGCGATTAAGGCTGATATGGTGCGAGCTGGAGTCGCTGGCGATAAATTGCCAATATGAGCTTTCGTTCGAACCTGTTTTTTGTTATTTATTTGTCTATAGCGCCGTAGTTCGATTTGCGAAAGCTTAAAAAGAATACTGGGTAGTAGGCAAGACCTCAGCCCAGGAAGAGCTCGAACCCGCATCGCCTGCTTACTGGGCAATTGTACCACCGGAAGCTGAGATAGGGTGAAACGGTGCCCCGGTAGCGTACTGTAGCACACTGGCCCGTTAATCAAAAGATGCGGACATCGAGTCCCATCCGAGGTCAAGATTTTTCCCATTACTCAGCGTTGTTTTAGAAAAACACTTCTTTTTTGAATTTTTCCTCTATTAGGAGGCATAGTTTCGCGCTTCACAGTTCCAGCCATGGAAGCATAATATTGATGGTGAGTGAAGTTAACGATGTGCTCGAAAATTTGCTTGGTCCTGGACCTCTTGTTTCCAGTGGGCACGTCCCACGTTGCCTTGTTCAGAGTTCGGAATCTTTATGATGAAACCATTTTTGTTCTTGTGTTCGTTTGTGATGGTACCACCCACTGTGAGTTCTTTTGTGTGGAAAAAGCGTGAGGATGTGCACGTGTTGTTTCTTTTTTGAAAAAATCCGTGCTCTTCTGTTCAAATTTGGACGAAGTTCCAGACTCTGTGAGAGTTCGCATCAACGGCAGCGATGTCGAACGCAGCCTTGAAGATCGGCAGCCGTGCTCTGCCGACTAAACATCATATGCTGTACACAGAAAAGCATATGGCCATCAGAAGAGAGCTGCGAAAGGTGGGCCGACGTTTATCTAAAATTATTACGTTCCTTTGAAAATTTGGCATCAAAGTGTTATTTTGGAACCTATTGTGGAATACAACACTACTGCAACCTCAGATGGGTCAGTCACTGACTCCTTCGGATCTGAAACATTTCCTGCTAGCATTTTTGATAGAAACCTTTGCAAGTCCGTGCTCAAAAGCAAGCCTCAGGATAAAATAGGTGTGGACGAGCGTTCACTAATGAAGCTAGGTCCCCTCTATTTCAGCCGCATTCCACCTTGGGATAGAGAAGGGGCGCGTTGGACGAGTTTCACGAACCTACTCCAGTTGCTCCAGTGCCAATGACATTGAACCGCAATGGGACCGCTGCCGCAACTGCGCCCGCGCTTTTCAAGCAGCGCCACGTGGCAACCGACAGCGGAAGGGGTGGGGCTTGCGGACGAAGGAGTGGATTGCGGGTCGAGCGAGCTTCTAGCGCCTTTGTCGCGCAACTTCAAGCCGGAAAGGGCGCGACATCAACTTTGTCCGCCTGTCTACTGCGCTTAGATATGGAATAGGTGAGCATGCCTGATCCCGGAGCGGGCCTTTACGAAGCTGCTGACAAGGAAAGCTGTACAGAGAAAGGCATGAGGCTATCATAAGTTGTGGTTGACGCTGAGCTCAATACCGCCTTCCACATGTGCTATAGAATTTTTTGAACGAAGTTATAACATAAAGGAGCGCGGTAGTAGTCAGGCTCACAGGCAGGAGGTCGTTGGATCGACACCTGGCTAGTTTCCTCCTTTACCTATATTAGCAACATGGGTAAGAAGGCCTTTAACATCTCTGCTTCATTTGCTTGCTTACAGGTGATTGGTAGAAATGATTGCGGTTTTTAAGGCATTTTTTTGACAAAGAGTAGTGGGTAGGACGGCGTAAGCAAAAGCTCACAACTCGTATCCGTAAATCATTTAGGAGGTATGGAGCTCAGTTCTGAGCTCATTCTCAGCATGTCGGAGCGATGTACTGGTATACACCTCATTTTAATTGGCTGCGTTAGCCTGTTGACCTTCGCTTGTAAGACTCAGTTCCTTTTAGTTGATTGATCGCTCCATCAATCCTCACGTCCAAAAGTGGGAAGATGCTGGTCGATTTCCGGCACACGCTGTATTCAAGCAACTCGGCAATCTTGGTGTTTTAGCAGTAAATAAGCCTGAAGGTAAGCTTAGCTTGCGTCCACCTTACTACTCACTTGTGACAATACTCCTTACAGCCTTCGGTGGACTCGGTCTGGATTTTTCCTATTCAATCGCAGTCGCAGAGGAATTAGGGAGCATCGACTGTGCTGCGATCCCGATGGCCGTTTGTGTGCAGGTACCGTAATTTCATTTATCCTGCTTCCCAATGTGCACGCTTGGCACATTCAGACGAATATGGCCACACCCGCCTTGGCTGAGTTCGGCTCCGATTCCTTGAGAGAAGAGTTTCTCGCCCCATCTATAGCTGGCGATCTTGTTTCCTGTATTGCCGTCAGCGAGCCGGAAGCAGGAAGCGATGTGGCAGGTACTGTCAACGTTGAAGATTTTGCTTCCCTGGAAAATTCATTCCTCCAGCGATTCGAACCAGGGCTGTTCGAAGTGGTTCCGATCTGATCATCAATGGGCACAAAATGTGGATAACAAGTGGAGAACAGGTGTGTCTTGCTTCTCATTATGTTCGAAAATTTTGTAGCTTTACCCAGGTACTTCTCAGGCCGATTGGGCTTGTGTTCTCGTCAACACGAACAACAATCCGTCACCTCATCAGAACAAAAGCCTCGTTTGTGTGAGGCTGAATGAACCAGGTATTATGTTTTCA